CTCGCTGTGTCTCTCTCTGTCAAATAAATAAATAAAAATCTTTAAAAAAAAAAATTATACAATGTAATTTTGCTCTTAGGAATTTCAACAACAATATCTATTTCCCTGAAAGGGCCCTTGAAAATGGGAATGACGATCTACACTCATTCTGAGGACTCTGAAACAATAATTTATGTCAATTTAACCTGATTCAAACACAATTCAATGAAGATGCCTATAAAAAGCAATGTGTCCACAATCAATGTTATGAAGGTTCAATCTGGTAATGATTTTAACCAAAATTCTAAAGAAACAGAAACTGGTACCAAGTTCACCATGGATTTCACCTGCATATTTTATCACTGGATTATTGAAATAAATACCCTTTTAATTCGTACCCCTGTCACAGTCTCTCCTTCCTCCAATCCATTTGATATGTTGCTGCCAGAGAAATTTTTTATCATTGCCCTGCTCAAAAACCCTTAATAATCTCCCACTGTATATAAATTAAAGTTCGGGAAAAAAAAAAAGAAAAAAAAAAAACCCTCCATGATCTGGTACTGATCTATTTTTTTAAATTATTTCACACCATTCCTTTTAATTTACCCGAGATTCTGGTCATACCATTTGAGGTTCTCATCTTGTGTTTCCTACCTGGACTCTGATTCATGTGCTTCCAACCACCTGGAATACCTCTTTCCCTATCTGCACATTTCTAAATCTTGCCTATCCATCATGAACCAGGCCAAGTGGTCCCTCCCCATGAAAACTTTCCTGTGAGTTTCAGTCAGAGGAAAGCCTTTTCCCAGGAACAAAGAAGGTTTTGTGTATATTTCACCTTATACCATTATTTACAATTGTTCATTAACACTTGTGATCCACCCTGCCAGACTGTAACTTGTATGTCCTGCTCATCTTTTCATGCCCTTTGTGTCTACCTCAGTACCTTGTATCTAACAGGCGCTCAGTTGTATTTTTTTTTTTAATTAAAGACTCTACTCACCTTCTTAATGATTACATAGTATTTCATGTTATGTATTTATCTTCTATTTTAGCTCCCATAACACTTTAGCCAAAAACACTCAAGAACTCAAAAGTGTCTTCTGAATTAATGATATAAAGTGTACATTGTATGAGAAAATACAATCTGTGTTTATAGAGCCTTAAAATATACCTCAAAATGAAACAGCTTTGTCTAATACCTAATAGCTACAGTTATTACACAATTAATATTAAATTTCTCTTGAAATGATACTATCTCCTATACAGAAAGCTATATTAACAAACATATTCAAGACACATGCAGATTAGTACTTCCTAAGTGCTTATATCCAGCACTTGTTTGGGAAAGATTCTGAGGCAAGAAATTAAGTAATATACCAATGCTCAGTAAAGAGAGAAGCACTCTGTAAACCTCTTTAAGTTATTATCAACATTGGATCCTTGACCATAACAAATAAAATCCATGCTTATGCTAAAAAAGTATCATTCGCTGGTAACATTCTATACCTGACCACTGGATGTGAAGAGCCAAATTTCATCTTCATACGTTCCCCTAGCTTCGTTAAAAGCAGGTTGAAGTGTGCACTTGCCAGATACAGGTTCATCTGAGCTCTCCAGGGCATCTCCTCAAGAAATATTTGATGGAACCTCTTCCTTTTCACAAAACTTAATATTATAGGATTCAAGTTATCCACCAGGAATCGATAGGCAAGTTTTCTAACATCAGTTCTCTTATTTCTGCCAAGGAGAAACAAGTTTTGAAATTACACAAGCTTCCAGATATTTAATAACGAAGAATGATTCCAATTTGTATAAAATACACCAAGAAGTCACTTGACTGCCCTTATGCAAATGTTTCTGGCTTATTCATAATTTCCTTGGTGCTAAGAATGAGAAAGAGGGCAGTAGACAAGCCATGAGGATAAACAGTAAGGACAAAGACACTATGTATTGCCTTCCATTCTCTCTGATGTCTGTGTCCTAAGCTCCAACCAGACAACTTTTCATTTCCATAACCAAAAGGCCACTGAGATTAGACAAACGAATTATAATATAATGTTCACATTCATCCCCTAACTTCAATATTAAAAGAAAAATCATTTCTCTGTATTGTTCCTTAAGGAAAAAAACAATGGAGCAAAATTTTTTCCAACATTAGACTACAGCAGAAATAAAATATCAATCAACTATAAATGAAATAACTTCATAAATCCATACTCAATATGCTCTGAAAAAAAACTAATTTCAAAATTTAGCTAATAGTTCATATTTTAAGTGCAGCATATATTCAGTTTGTTTAAAATTATTCCTATCAAAATCTCAAAGTCATCCAACTATTTTTATAGTTGCATAACTGTTTACAGGGCATGATTTGATTTCTTCAAAGTACTTTTTTTTTTATGTTGACAATGCTACTACCCCATTGGTCAGTGCCATTCTATCTGATTTATATTGCAGAAAGGAAAAAAAAAATCTCAATTGGTAAGTGAGAGTATCTTGCTTGCTTTAATAGATAACGTGTCTGAATCTGACGCAACATGCGCACGCGCACACACACACACACACACACACACACGAGAAGGAAAGGAAGGTGGATGGAAGGTCAAATCTCCTCAAAAGGCCCAGGAGAGTTTGACAGGACTAGCCACATCTTCCCTGCACTGAAGGTGAGAGTCCAGGGAGAGAAGTGACAGAGGATAGTCTTCCTCCACGAATCTTGTCGAGGTAGTAATACACCCAAGGGGCTTGGAAAGGACCGAGAGCCAGCCCAGAGGGTAGAGAATGCTTCTTCTTTTACCACCTGAGTAGTTCCTAATGTGCAGGGTACTCCATAAGCAGCTCTGTGTCTCTATGAGCCACAGATGTGAGCGGACCCAGTAGCCAGAGAGGAAGTTCAGGAGGGACAGTCAGCATAAATAAATGCTCAGTGATATAGAACCATAAGAAGACAGAAACCTGAATTAGGAAGATATTAAGGAATCCAGACACTATCACCGGTATATTCTAGCTTGAACAAATAAGTCAATATATTGACATTAACGGAAACAGGATTCCTACCATTATAAAAAAAAATTACACTTAGGGAAAGAGAAAACACTGGAAAGTATCTTGTGGTATGGAACTGAAACTGGACATATCAGTATGACCTTATTACAGTTTTAGATAGATACATAGATCTATTTAGGTGGACATAGCTATTTCCTAGTTTTGTCTGTTGAAAGGGCCTAGAAGCAAAGATACATCAGTAGCCTCCAGAACTTAGATTCTAAATACCAATTCCACTAAAAGGAATCAACTGGTTCCAGGGCTGGGACAGGGAAGGTACAAGATGAACATCTCGTGGTAAATAAGAAGAAGCTCAAAAAAATGATGGGGACATGTCAAAAAGACTAAAGAGCTAGGCTGAAAGGGCTCCGGATGGCCAAATCTGGAACAATTTGAGACTCAAAATAAATAATAATGTTAATTTGATAAAGGATATCCACAAAAACAAACCTACCACAAATATAATTCTTAATGATAAAATGTTGAAAGCTTGAAAGCTTTTCCTCTGAAATGGGAATCAGACAAAGGTACCCACTAATATCATTTCTTTCAGCACTGAAATAGTGGGCTTAGCAAGAACAAAAAGGAAGATAAAGGCAGTGGGAGCGGGGGGGAGTATAAGGATTGAAAATAAAGAAGTAAAGCAGCTGTCAATCGTAGACAATACGATTGTATATTTATAAAATCCAAAATAACCTACAGATAAGGTATTAGAATTAATCAGTGAATTTATTAAGCCCACGGAAGACAAAGTCAATATACAAAAAATAATTCTATTTCTACATACCAGCAATAAACAATTAAAAATGAAATTCTAAAAAGATATTTCTAATAGCTTAAAAAATACCTAGGAATTAACCAAAGCAAAGATGTGCAAGACCTACTCACAGAAAATAGAAATTATAAGGATAATCTTACACTACCATATACTAAAAATTGTAAGGTACAGTTAAAATAGTGATAGGAAGGAAACATGTTAGCCTTCAATGTTTTCTGATTCAGAACAATCTCAACCAAATTTTCAATAAGTTTTTTGTATTTTTAAATTATCAAAATAATTTCTATTTTCCCCCCATGAATTAATTCTAAATGTCTATTTAAGACTTTCAGATGTATAGGATCTTTTTGATTCTATCTTTTCAAAAATTGGTCTCTACTGTGTAAATCAATTATGGTGAAATGTGGTTTGTATGAGTCCAATATTTGAAAATTCTTGAGATTTGCCTTAGAGTCAATACTATAAATGTTCTATGTGTGCTTTAAAAAATAAATGCTTTTTAAAAAAATCCTCTAAAAAATAGGCATTTTCTAGTTGTTGGCTATTCACAATCTTTTTCTCCTAAATTTAAAATCAGCTTGTCCATGTCCATCAAGATAATCCCAAAATTAAATGAGGCAAGTATCCTACAACTGTACATACTCTTACTGAAATATCTGTTCATGTTTTTTGATCATATTTTTTACAATTTATTTTTAATTGTCTTTTGCTCATTTTCTAATCGGACTGTTTGTTTTTATTATTCTTTTGAATTTTGAGAGGTCTTTATATATTCCAGATATAAGGTCTTTCTTGGATATGTGGTTTACAAATACTTCCCAGTATGTAGCTTGTCTTTTCATTCTTTTCACAGGGTCTTTCACAGAGCAAAAGTTTTAAATTTTGATGAGGCCTGAGGTTGTATGGTAAGCCTATGTTTAATTTTATAAGAAATCTCACAGTCTTTTCCAGAGTGGCTGTATCTTTTCACATTCCCACCAGCAGTGTACACATGACCCAGTATTTAGTGTTATCACTATTTTTTATTTTAGCCATTAAAATAGGCTTTAGTGATACCTTGTGGCTTTAATTTGCCTCTCTCTAATGGCTAATGATACTGAACATCTTTTTATGTGTTTGCCATCTGTATATAAGCAAAACTTTCAATATCTCTTCACAATATGACAATCCACACAGAAAACTTGTATCTATGAATAAATTATCAAGCCTATAGAAGATTGAATTGTTTACAAATCACTTAAGTTCCTATACAAAAAAATAGAAGCATTCAAAAATGTAATTTTAAAATACAATTTACATTAATACCAAAAAGCACCTCTTTGATGTAGCTAATAAAAGATGTATAGCATCTTTACGGAAACTACCATAAAAACTTACTGGAAGACGTAAGTACGTGGTCTATATACTAACAGAAAGAATCAATACGGGGGGTGGGAGGAAGTTCTAAAACCAACCTATATAGTCAATTATATCTCTATCAAAACCATGAGTTTTTTGTGTTACTTGACAAGCTATTCCAAACCACTCTGTGGAAGAATATCCAAGACTTGTGTGAACATGGAGAGACTTGATCTATCAGACAAGAAGAATCAACTTAATGCCACAGTAAGGATGATGGTGTGATATTGACCCACAAAATGATAAACAGACTAGGACAGAAAAGAGATCTCAAACCTGTATATATGAAAACTTGCTAAATGACAAAAGAGACAGTGGTGGCAGAATAGACTACTTGATAAATGGCTAACAATGGCTACTTGGTAAATGGGGCGAGCCAGTTGGGTACCTATAACAAAACTACAAGAGATGGGGAGGGGGACTCTTCCTCTCATGATTCACAAAAATAAAATACAGTTAGATGAAACTCCTAAATCTGGGGCGCCTGGGTGGCTCAGTCGGTTAAGTGACTGCCTTTGGCTCAGCTCATGATCTCAGAGTCCTAAGATCGAGGCCCACGTCAGGCTCTGCTCAGTGGAGAGCCTGCTTCTCCCTCTCCCTCTGCCCCTCCCCCTCGCTTGTGCTCTGTCTCTCTCTCAAATAAATAAAATCTTAAAAAGAAAAAGAAACTCCTAAATGTGAAAATCTAAAATTTAAATTCATGAATATACCTTTACTAACTTGTTCAAAAACAACAAAGAGAAATGGTGATACATTTTGCTCCATTAAAAATTATAACTTTTGATTTTAAAAAGAAAACCTTTAAAATGTAAATAGATGAGCCACAAACTTGGAAAAGCAATAGTATCCAAACTTCTAAAAATAAATGAGAAAACAACAAAAGTTTTTAAATGTACAAAGGATCTAAACAAGAAGTGCTGAGAACAGAAAAACCATAGGGTCTAATAAAAACATGAAAAGATGCCTAAACTCATTACTAATTAAATAAATAAAAATTAAAATAATAATGACATAAAATTTCACAACTCAACAGTCCATAAAAATTCAAAAATTTGATAATATCAAGTGTTGGTAAAGATGCTGAATAATGGAAACTTGACACACCACTGATGGAAATTTAAGAGCAACTTAGCAATAACTAATAATGTGAAAAATGTTCATATCTTGGGAACTATACTCTTCAATCAATGAGAGATGAAGAATACAATAAATGAAATTAGAAACAGGTTTGATTCAATGAACAGCAGGGTGGAAAAAGAAGAGGAATGAATTAGTGACCTAGAAGACAAAATAATGGAAAATAATGAAGCTGAACAAAAGACAGAAAGAAGAATTATACAACACAAGAATAGACTTAGGGAACTCAGTGAGTCCGTCAAATGTAGTAACACTCATATCACAGAAGTCTCAGAAGAAGAGAGAGAAAGGCTGGCAGAAGATTTATTTCAAGAAATAATAGCAGAAAACTTTCCTAATCTGAGGAAGGAAACAGACATCCAGATATAGGAGGCACAGAGAAACCCCATCAAAATCAACAAAAGCAGGCCAACACCAAGACATACTGTAATTAAATTTGCAAAATATAGTAATAAAGAAAAAACCTTAAAAGCAGCAAGATAAAAGAAGTCCTCAACTTACACAGGAAAGTCCATAAGACTACCCAGAAATTTCTCAAAAGAAACTTGGCAAGCCAGAAGGGGGTGACATGATATATTCAACGTACTGAATAAGAAAAATCTGCAGCCAAGAATACTCTATCCAGCAAGGCTATCATATCAGAATAGAGGGAGAAATAAAAAGTTTCCCAGACAAACAAAAACTAAAGGAGTTCATGAGCACTAAACCAGCTCTGCAAGAAATATTAAAGGGGACTCTTTTGAGTAGAAAGGAGAGACCAAAAGTGACAAAGACAAGATAGGATCAGAGAAAATCTCCAGAAATGACAAAACAAGTAATAAAATGGCAATAACTACATACCTATCAATAATTACTTTGAATGTAAGTGGACTAAACAAGACCCATCTATATGTTGGCCATAAGAGACTCATTTTAGACCTAAAGACACCTGCAGATTGAAAGTGAGGGGGTGGAGAAACATTTATCACGCAATTGGATGCCAAAAGAAAGTCAGAGTAGCAATACTTATATCAGACAAACTAGACTCTCTGTTTTGTATTGTTTTTTTCCTGCTTTGTTATTTAGGGTAGTACTGGCCTCATGGAATGATTTTGAATGTGTTCCCTCTATTCTATTATTTGTAAGATTTTAATAAAGATTGTCATTAATTATTTTTCTTAAATGCTTGGTAGAATTCACCAATGAAACCAGGTGATGTAGAGCTTTTCTGTGCTGGGAGCTTTTTGATTCCTAATTCAACTTTCATTCTTGTTATTGGTCTAAGAAGACGTCCTACTTCAAGATTCATGATTCAATCTTGGTAACTTGCTTGTTTTTAGGATTATCTGGGTTTTTTTCTAAGTTATCTGATTTCTTAGCACGTAATTATTTCTTTTTTTTTTAAGATTTTATTTATTTATTTGACAGAGAAATAGAGAAAGAGCACAAGTAGGCAGAGTGGCAGGCAGAGGGAGAGGGAGAAGCAGGCTCTCCGCTGAGCAGGGAGCCGGATGTGGGGCTCAATCCCAGGACCCCAGGATCATGACCTGAGCTGAAGGCAGCCGCTTAACTGACTGAGCCACCCAGGCACCCCTGTACATAATTGTTTCTAATAATCTGTTACCATACTATGTATTTTTGACATACTATTGGCTGTTCTATTTTTTGACATACATTTGGCTGTTCTATTTTTTTTCTCTTCTGTTTCTCATTTTGGTTTTTGAGGCTTCTCTCTCTTTTTTTTCTTAGTTGATGTAGTTAGAGCACTGCCAATTTTGTTTATTTTTTTGGAAAAACTGGTCATTACTTTCAATTTTATGTTATTGCTTATCCTGGTCTCTATTTTATTTATTTCTGATTTTTCTTTGTTATTTCCTTCCTCTGCTAAATTTCAGCTAAGTTCTTCTTTTTCTAGTTCCTTGTGGTTTAATGTTGTTTATTTGAACTTGTTTTCTTAATACAAGCATTTATAGCAAAAAAGGCATAATTTAAATCAAGAAAATAAAGGAATAATCAAACAGATAGTAGGCAAATGCAAAGTAAGAGTGGTTCTATTAATATGTACATGTTGCTCTTAAAATCCAAATCATTAAACAGATAAAGACATTTTATGTATATAATGAAGATAAGATATATAAAGAATATATAAGAATCATAAGTTCCTACTCATAAAAATAGAAGCTAAACATTTTACCACGATAAGCTTTATGGTTTCAGTTTTTTTGAATAAGAACGTAAGGACCACCAATAATGAAAAGTAATTTATGAACTGGTCTTTTAACCACCCTATCTAAACCACTCCTGCCACCACTTCCAACCAAGGCCAGTTACTCTATAGCTTATCATCCTGTTCACTTATTTTATAAAATGTATCAAAATTTTACCCTGTCTTGTTTATTTGTGGATTTACTTATTTACTGTGCTCCTGTCATTAGTATGTAAGTTCCCCAAGGGCAGTGATCTTATCTATCTAGTCCACCACTATATCCCTAGTTCCCAAAATAATGCCAACCACATAGTAACATTTACTGAATTAATAAATCAGTCAATACCTTTCATGTTCCACCATTTCAGAAAAAGATGGATTTTTGGAAAAAAATTCTCTTAGAGTTTCCTTTCTTTTACTTCTTTTTCTTGGCAAAGGTTCTATAGTCTTAATAGGAGAGATGACAAAAATGTTACAAATTAAATCTAAACTCTGAACACAATACAATTTATTCATACTCTAATGCTTATCTCTTGACATTGAAATACAGTGATTTCTTTATACCCCTCAATTAAAATTACTATCAAAAGCAACAGGGGCGCCTGGGTGGCTCAGTCATTAGGCGTCTGCCATAGGCTCAGGTCATGATCCCAGAGTCCTGGGATCGAGCCCCGCATCGGGCTCCCTGCTCAGCGGGGAGCCTGCTTCTCCCGTTCCAGCTCCCCCCGGTTTGTGTTCTCTTTCTCGCTGTGTCTCTCTCTGTCAAATAAATAAATAAAATCTTTAAAAAAAAAAAAAAATTTATGATTATAAAAATATCCATGTGATAACTTAAGAATTATAATGTACTGGGACACCTGGGTGGCTCAGTCGGTTAAGTGTCCAACTCTTGATTTTGGCTCAGATCATGATCTCAGGATTGTGAGATTGAGCCCCAAGTCAGGCTCCACATGGAGCCTGCTTAAGATTCTCTTTCTCCCTCTTCCTCTGCCTCTCCCCCTCCCCACTTATACATGCATGCCCGCACTCTTTTTCTCTCTCTCAAAAAAAAAAATTATAATTTACTGTATAATAATAAAATTATCTGTTGATATTTCCTTCTGTTTCATATTATAATAAATTATAATGCAGCCAATCATCTTTAGATACATGAATCTCTTATTTCATTAACTTAAAAATCAAAACTCGTAAGACATTTACCCTTCCAATCTCCATTACTGCAGCTTTGAACTTCTTCAAAGGTTTGGTTGTCTTTTTACACAAAACATTATCCTTATATTTCATTCTTCTTATTCCAAGTAGGGACTCATTCCTCCTAATACAAAAAGATAAAGTCAGTTAAAAGGATCTGTAAGAATTTGCAAAACTATACCAAAGCAATAAATCTTTAATGAATGTTGTCACTGAAATGGTATGAGAAGAATATCCAGAATTATTTGTGTCTCGTGCATAAATAAGATTGTGATATTCCTAATAATCAAGGAATAGCTGGCCTCTTGAAAGAGCAAAATGTAAATCATACCATAAAATGTGATGAGAGCTGACGTGTGACATGGGAAAAACAGAATTGGATTGAAAATAAAACATGAACATGTCCCTTTAAAACTGAAAACATAATTATGTAAGAGTGACCCTGGACAAGCTATCTTGCTTGCAACAGATTTCAGTCTCTTTGGTTCCATCATGTCCAGGCTCCTAGCCACTATCACCTTCTGGATACCAACAGGTGCTAAGCATTTTATATGCCTACAAAAACTTTTCCCTTTCCCCAATCACTTGTTGAAGTTCTTAATCTCATTTTTTTCAATCTGCCATGGACCCCTATGGTAATTCTTCAAATACTGTGAAGTCTCTTATTATCCCTCCTTCTACTGATACTTATCATTTATTTTCCCTGCAATTTATATATTTTCTAAAATTTATATTTCTTTGAGTAAGTACTTGCTAATACCAGCAAATCCCTGCTTTCATTGGGGTGCCTGAGTGGCTCAGTCGGTTAAGTGGCTAGGAGAGCCTGGACATATTGGTTAAGCACCCAACTCTCAGTTTGGGCTCAGGTCATGATCTCAGCGTTCTGGGATTGAGCCCCAAGTCAGTGCAGAGTCTGCTTGTCCTTCTCCCTCCCCCTCTGTTTCTCTCTCCACTCGTACTCTCTCTCTCTCTCAAGTAAATAAAATAAAATCTTAAAAAAAAAAAAAACCCTGCTATCACATGATAAATGGGGTCCAAAACCTTAAATTGAATAAAATGTAGGGTCACATCAATACAAGGCTAATGAAAAGATTGGGTGAGTCTGGATAGCTAGTTACACTGGAGGTGGGGATCCACCCTCTGCGACTTGCATTTTGAAACTGGTTGCCTGCCGTTTTCTAAGCAGGTTGGTCTCTTCCCTACCTCTCCTGACTCTCCCACCCCCCAGAATGCTTGAGCTGGTTGCTGTTATGGCAGAAAGAGATGGGAAGGAGAGGAGGTCACAGATAAACACTTGCCATCCTCCTATCCTCTTAACAGTCGCCTCCATGCTCTGAAGAACTCTCACCTCCTGAATCAATTAAACTCCTCCACTTCTCAACCTCTTCACAGAATTATTCCTCCTAGCCTTTTATTTTGTTTATGGTATGTTATGAAAATGGTATTTTAAAATTTTTATGTAGTCAATGCTATCGATCTTTGATTTCATGGCTTATTCACTGTTTTGATTACTTATATTACTACCTTTTTCTAACGTGAAACATTGAATCCCAATAGCTATCTGCCTATTATTTCACAAACAGAACTCTGTTATACTTTATCTGATAATACAAATCTCTCTTTTGCTCTTTTTCATTTCTCAAATATTTTTCATTATTCTACACCATTCCATAAAGCTAACATGATTGGAGTTACATTAAGCCAACAAATTAATTTGAAGATAATAGAAATTACAGTAGTCCATCTGCCCATCAAGTAATGCACTATGTCTCCATTTATTCAAGTCATTTTTAAAAATATATCTTAGTAAAAATGTTTGGTCTTCTTTTATTAGCCTAAGTCCCCTCACAAATCCTCATAAATTTAATCCTATGCTTCATAGAAATGGGATCATTTTTCCATTATTCTTTCTAGTTTATATAGGAAAGCTACTGGTTTTGTAGCTAGCTATCCTGTGGAATTCTGTTATTTCTGATAGTTATCAGTCAATTAGCTTAAGTTTAAAAAAAAAATATTATTTGCAAATACCAATCATTTTATCTCCCTTTCAGAGTATTTCACTGTGGAATTCATTTGACAAACATTTTTGAGACCCTATTATGTGATAATCACATGAATTCTAATCCTAATTTCTATTTCTTATTTTAATGCACTGGCAAAAATTTTCAGAACAATATTAAATGATAGAAGGAAAAATAAGTTTCCTTATTATAAAGCTTATTTTAACAGAAAATATTCTTCTAATCCTAGTTTGCCAAGAATGGTTGTTGAATTTTACCACATGACTTTTTAGCATTTACTATAGGCTCCTTTGCCTACCAGTAATAATTACATTTCCAGATTTCCTACTATATTTATATTGATAATAAGATCTACATTTTCAACACTGAATTTACAAGCTATTTTATGAATTTTTGTTTCTATATACTGCTAAGTAAGACTGATTCATAATTTTCTATTTTTTTAATTCTTTTTATAAACCTGTTAACAGAGACTCCTGTGATAAATTTACTAGCAAACTTTATACCCATGTCCTGAAATAGCTTTATGTAAAGTAAAACTTATTTGGTTCCTTTAAGTATGAAAGAACTAGCCTTAAAAAAAATCTGAGCCATTCAAATTCTTTTTAAATACTTCAATTTTTATAATTTAAATTTTTCCAGATTATCATCACTTTCAACTAGAAATTTCAAATTTATTCATATTAAATTATATATGCTGCTATCTAATGTTTGTTTAACCCCTTCCAAATTTAGAATTATTACTTCTTTGGATTACTTATATTTCACTTTTTCTTATTATGCTGGAAACTCACCTAATTTATTAATATCTTCAAAGAACCAGTTCTAGCAGTTATCAATTTTTTTTTTTTTTAAGAGAGTGAGCACGAGCAGGGGTGGGGGTACAGAGGGAGAGGAAGAGAGAGAATCTCAAGCAGCCTCCCCGGCCAGCATGGAACCATTCGGGGGCTCAATCTTACAATCCTGAGACCGTGACCTGAGCTGAAATCAAGAGTCCGAAGCTTAACTGACTGAGCCACCCAGGTGGCACCTTCAATTAAATGATTTTAAAACCAAGTTATAATTGTTTAATTTCAACTTGTATTTTTATTTTCTTTTTTCTGCTTTCTTAGATCAATTTTATTTTTCTAATTGCTCGAGTTCAATAAAAATTCATTTGATTTTATTTTTCTTATTTAGTAATACAGGCTTCTAAAGCTAAGAATTTCTTATTGCTGTTTTGAGCAAATTTGATACTAGGGTTTCTCATCATCATTACTTTCAAAAGTCTCTATACTTTTGGTTAGATTTCTTTTTTGATCCAATAATTATACATATGGCAGTAATGTATTTTGTTATAAAATTTCAGCTTTATTATACTGTAAGAGAATGTGGTCTTCACAAATTTTAGCCTAGGTTATGTACTGAGCCCTATTTTGCAGCTTAAATATTACTTTTTAAAAAATTTAATGAGTGTTTTAAAGAGTGTTTAGTCTCAATTGGCTATATATATTAAATTAATCTTATTAATTATATATACTTTCTGTGTCCTTTTTATTTCTTTTTAAACTAGCATGTTAAACTCTCTCAATATTATTATATTTTGTCAAATCAGCCTTGTCTTTTCAGCAGTTATTTCCATATACATGGATTTTTGTTATGTAAAACATGAAAATTCATGAAATATCTTCATTGTGATTTATAAGCATTATTGGTAGAATCACCCACTTTGAATGTGAAAAGATAGAATTGAAAATAAGTAACAAAGAGATTGTTCTTTAAATATTACCAGGACAACTGATAAACTGGGGAACCTAAAGTTTAATTTAAGTCCCCATACCAAAATAAATTCCATATGGATTAAAACATTAAATATAAATCATGAAACCATAAAAGTGGAAGAGAATACAGCTGCACATTTGCCTGTTGCAGAATATTTTCTTTGTGCAAAAATATGTTAAGCATACGAACATAAAAAGAAAATAGATATTACTATCAAGGTAGAAATCAAGGTGTACCATCTGCTCCTCCTCTATATTCCCTGATTTAGAGAAGAGCATCCTAAAACATCTGCTCAGCCTAGAAAATTGAAATCATTATCTTTGTTTTGAACTCAAGTCATACTGCTCAATCTCCAACCTTGAGTCTTTTGTTACACCACTGGGTTAATGCTTCTAAGCCACTCACTCTGCTTTCCTCTTTCAGAATATCTATTATTCTTACATTGGACCTCCGCAGTCAGCCCTCCAAATTTCACTGCACGCCAAAAGTGTCTTCTGCTTCTCTCTGGTATTAAGAATGTGATTTACAGCTTCCAGACTTCTAATCTCAGCTACGGTCTTTTTAGTTTAATAGCACTTTCTGTCTAATTCTCTGAATACTATAACCTGTTTCATTTGATAAAAGCAATTTCCTCCTTTATCGTTTGAGAATATGAAGTACATATAGTCCAAGCTTTTGTTCTAATAAATGAAGTGCCTGTTTTAGGAAGAATGTTTTTCTATATGTTTTTATGAGAACGTTTCTCTTTTGCTGCCATTTTTTAAATAGACCTCATGTGATTGATGTTTCTTTTTACTAAAATGAGAGATAGGTCTATGCCCAATGGTGAAAGAAAAGCCCAGTTGTTGAAAGAAAATGTTTGTTTGTTTGTTTGTTTACATACACAGACACAAATCCTCACTATCTTCTTGGTGGCTGTTTACCCCACCCTTGGTGTATACCCCATCCTCTCTTTCATCCACCTTATATATCTTAAAGTAACAATGTTACCTATCTTTTAAAATTGTAAATATTAATAAAATATATATTACAAATACCTTTTCAAGAAGTCATAAACAGGATTTGTTATCTCCACCATAAGATGAAATTTTTCATCATTCATACATTTTAGCATCACTTGTGTAAAAAATTCTAGGAATCTAGGTCTCTGCTTAAATTTCATAACTGTGAAAACAAAGAAGTGTACCAGTAAATGTGGCAAGAACTCCTGTCTTTCTAAGATCAAATAATCCTTTAGAGTCTATATTTATTTTTCCAAATATCTCAGTGTTGAGAAAGAGTCCATAAAAGTTAACTCTAAATATGACAAGTTAGGGATCATAAGGGACCAAAATCTTTCCAGATTTTAAATCACATTACTAGACAGTCAATATTCTGCATTATTCTGAATGGGTAAGAATGGTCCCAGGGTCCTGGGATCGAGCCCCACTTACCTTCTAGGTAAGAGCCTAGAACGGTGAAAGCTTTCAGACACGACAGAACCCACAGAATAAATGACCTTCAAAACTTGAGTGAACAGCAACCACACATTTAGGTCACCTACCTTCTTTTACAGCGCCTTTGACCGACCAGTTTAAAACAACAGGGTAAAGAAATATAGGGTCCTCTGCTCCTGACAGTTCAGCTGTAGCATCTAAGGTTTAAAAAATTAGTAAGTTGTAGGTTCCATGTAGCATGAATTACCAAAAATGAAAATTCTTTGGAAGGAACAAAACATAGGAAAATGCTCAAGTATTCATTCTAAATTATGTGCCTTCAAAATATCAACTATATCATTATATTTTGGAGTTTAAAAAATTCAGTGATCTCAATTATTTTCCTTTCATTTTTCCCCCCTAAAAGCCAAGGAGTCCACCACCAAATAGGTGAAGAGTGTCCAGGGCATGAGTCTCTCATATTCAATAGCTGTCGTCTATCAGCAAACCCCAGACTCTGAAACCTACCAATTATGTTAACTTGATCTTCACAAAATTACCTTTAAAAGACAGTAAAGTACAGAATAATGGACAGCACAGCCCCTGGAGCCAGGCTGTCTGGGTTCAAATTCTAACACAGACGCTTTTTAGTTATGAGACCTTGGGAAGTTACTCAAAATCTCTGTGCCTCAGTTTATCTTTTTTTTTTTTTTTAAATAAAGATTTTATTTGACAGAGAGAGACACAGCGAGAGCAGGAACACAAGCAGGGGGAGTGGGGGAGGGAGAAGCAGGCTTCCCGCAAAGCAGGGAGCCCGATGCGGGGCTTGATCCCAGGACCCTGGGACCATGACCTGAGCCGAAGGCAAGACACTCAATGACTGAGCCACCCAGGAGCCCCTCAGTTTCTCTATCTTTAAAATGAGGATAACAGTACCTTCCTCATATGGTTCTTATATAAGGGTTATATGTATATGTATAAAACACTTAACATACATAGTTCCTGGCACACAGAAAGCACAGTATAAAACTATTATTTTTATTACTGTTTTGTTATTAAATCTATTGTTCGGCTAGTAACATTACGTTGTTTTTCTTCGTAAAATGTTTTTATTGATAATATGAAAATAATTCACATTTCTAAAACACTTTACATTTTGGGGCACCTGGGTGGCTCAGTCAATTAAACATCTGCCTTCAGCTCAGTCATGATCTCAGGGTCCTGGGATTGAGCCTGCTCAGTGGGGAGTCTGCTTCTCCCTCTGCCTCCTTCCCTGGGCGCTCTCTCTCTCTCTCCCCCACGTGAATCAATAAAATCTTTAAAAACATAATTCAGGGTACCTGGGTGGCTCAATGAGTTGAGCATTGTCCTTTGGCTCAGGTCATAATCCCGGAGTCCTGGGATTGAGTCCCTCATCAGGCTCCCTGCTCAATAGGGAGCCTGGTTCTCTGCCCCTCCCCTGGCTCCTGTTCTCTCTCTCTCACTCTCTCTCTCTCAAATAAATAAAATCTTTAAAAAAATAAATCAATAAAAAATAAAACACTTTACAAAAAAAAGAATGTTTAACAAGACAATCACACCTTTCCCAAAGCTAGGTTTACTGGTTATGTGACTAATAGAGCATTGGGTTCAATTCATAAATTCAACTTGAAACAGACCTGGAACATACTGAGAGAGAGAGAGAGAGAGAGAGAGCTATCCAGGTTAGAGAATTCTGAACCCAGATATAACTGAGGCACACAATAAGAGAGGTGAAGTAGGGACACCAAATCCTATGAGTGGAGTCAGCTCCAAAAAGGCTGAGGGGCCAAAAGTGGAACCTCTGACTTGAGAAAAATTTAGAGAGAAAAGGTACTCTCTTGTTCTTCTAGAATATTTGAAGTACCTGCTTTTAAAAAGTGTGATAATATTTATCATCACCAGAAACTAAATCAATTTCTTAAGCAGATTTCCAAACTGCAAACTCCAAAATTCCAATCACTGTGTTAACATTGGTCCATTATGAAATTACCATTTGGCACAATGACCTAAAATTAAACTACTCTTTCACTTGAGTAGACCGTGGTTCAAATCACTCATGCATTAACACCCTCCACGCTATCCTTTTATTTCTCAGTTACATTTTTGCCTTTAGAGTAGTGATTCTCAATTTTGTGTCTTCCTCTCCAATATATGTGGCAACATTTGCCTTCCAGGTGATTGTCACAGCTGGCAGGATGGTGTGCCATGTATCTATAGGTAGAGGCCAGGATGCTGCTCAACATCCTATGGTACCCCACAGCAAAGAATTAGCTGGCCCAAATTGGCCATAGTGCCGAGGTTGAGAAACCCTGCTTTAGAATCAGAAGATTTAGGCTCAAAAACAAGCCAGCTATGTAATCCTAATAAATCACTTAATCTTTATGAACCAG